TATTTTGTATTTATTAAATTAGTATGATTTATGCCAAAAATCACTTATTGTTCCTTTACTACAACTAACAGTTAGCACATTTCAGCCAATCTGCCTCAAAATTTTCAGATTTAAGCAAAGAACTAGACCAATTGTGAACTGCTATTTCACAATCCAAAATGGCGGAATACAGTTAATCCAAAGAACATAAGTCTGTATTCGAGGTAATTTCAACTTACTTCAATATCTATTCCGATCCAGTCAATATACATTTCAGATGTAGAATGCACGTCGTTGTGGTGTTTACAAAAGAATTGAGATTTTTGTTCCAGGTCCTCTATATGTACCATTCCAACAAAACTATTAAATTCGGCTGACGAACATTTCAATTTAGTTTTATATGAGATGTTCATTTGAAAGATCCTGCTTAGGCGTTGGAGAAGTGATTCAAGTTCTTTTCTCAAAGGATAATATGTTCTTTTTTGTTCACCCCATTTCCAAATCTGTATTTCAATAATGTTTTTGAAAGATGCAATCAGCAACATTTCGTCTTCATTATCTTTGAGATGAAACAACGCAAAATCAATATAAACGATAGGTTCACCTCCACTTACATTTTGTGGGAAAGTTGCAACACTCCATTCCCTACTGTAAGTAACTAATATACAACTTATCAATGGAGGTGGTAGAAAGTCAAATTCAATGCATAACCATGAGGATTTCAACTTGCATTGAAACGAATTGACAATTTCGCGAAGGTTCTTTTTTCGCATCATGCAAGGTACAAAATAATCAAGTTCTTGTACTACTTTCTGTGATTGCAACATTACCCGTGGACGAACAATGATATCAAATTTCTCCATCACTTTAAGAATATGATCCTTGTTTTCTTTTATTTCTGGTGACTGCTTTGAAAACAAATATTCTAACAGCTCCTCTGTGAGTCGTCCAGATGCTCGGTAGTTTTGCCATTCTTTTAATATAGACATATCAACGTAAACTATATCGGTTGACACTATGCTTTTAAACGCATCTGCGAGCCATTGCGGATATAAAACAACATATTCCGGAAGGTCTTCAAAATAAATGTAAGTACCAATGTCATGATGGTATAAAAGGAATGATTCTATTTCTTTATCTTCCGTGATCGGATGGTTTGTAGCTGCTGCAAACTTACGTATTTGATCAATTGATAAAACAAATTGGCCACTGCTTAGTTCATCCAACAACGATCTCTCCAAATAAATCCATGTAAGAGGCAATTTTCTGTCCCACTTACTTGTACTTTCAGCCACCCGTAAAATCTCAATTCGTAATTCTTCAAAGCTTTCATCAGAATCATCCGTAGAAGAAACTAAGTAGTATTTTCTTACATGCTTTCTTGTAATATCATTCTCTACAGCTTTTTCAACTTCGCAAACTAATTTATCCCAACATTCTTTATAATTGCCCTGAAATGAATGAATAATATTTGCGTCTTAGAACTTAATATAAAAAATACTTGTAAATCTTTTTGGTATTGATTGTGCAGTTAAAAGAAGCAACTAACTGCATAAAACGTTAATTATATTTGAAATTGCAAACAAATATATAAGATACTACAAAGAAAAGACATGTATATGTACTACGGGAATATTTAAACCATTGTTTTTCATTTCCGTGGTAAAAGTTAATCTTAATTCTAATTATCAGTCGTGTTATCACTTTATTTATTTTAGAAGTTTATACATCAGATGTGGATTAAAATTATACAGCTACTGCTACTAATAATGGTATTGTAATGAGAATATGTTTATACGATGCTAACTAAACTAGTATTACTGATTAGGCTACTGTGGTGTTTCGTATTTATATATGTTTGTTTATTGTATCTTTTATAGTGATCAATGAGTTTCCAGTATTTCGACTTTTTTATGTTTTGTTACTGTTGCTCAATTAAACAAACCTCCAACATAATGTTTTCCATCAATTTATACGTTTGGTGATCAGAGAAAACTTGTCTATCACATATCAAGTTATAATGTTTATGGTGAAATGATTAGTCTACATCAAAACATCGTTAAGATATGAATAAAAATACACAATTCAATATTTTCACTCTTTTCACTCTCTTAAATCATTTCCGATGACCCATCCATACTAAAATTATCCCATGCAATACTTCATCGCTTCTATTTTTGATGAGCAGATTACTTTTGTTTCTCTGAACAAATCATTGTTTTTGAAAGGGACATGTGTATCACTTTGTGCGTTTTGTTTTGCACAAAACGATATCATGTCCCTTTCAAAAACAATTATTTGTAAAGAGAAACAAAAGTAATCTGCTCACAAAAAAAAAAAAACAAAAAAAAAAACAAAAAAAACGATGGATTATATGTTTAAGGTGGTGAAAAAATTTCAAATATATGAAAGAAAGCGGATATGCAGATAAAAGATAAACACTCCCTCGAAACAAATGGCAAAGAACATGGTTTGATTTAGCTGTTTGGACCGTTTACGTCGTTTGGTCTCTAATAGATAGTTGTCTCTCTTTAGAAATCCTAACTCGCATTCATATCGATATGTAATGGTCAACATTGACCCCCTCTCCCCCCCGAAAAAAGGCTTACTACCGGAAACAGAATGTTCTTATATATGGCAGTACAGTAGTTTGATAAACTGTACTAAAGGTTTAAACAGGAGATACATAAACAAAGATACAAAGATGTACATAAAAAAAGCAATGCACATGGCTATAATTAGCAAAGGGAAAATACAAAAAAAAAAATACTTACCAAATGGCAGTATGTGGTTACGATTGTAAAAATTGCTCTTTAGATTGTAATTATGGGTTGCAATTACTGCCAAGTATGAACGGGAACATATCAACTGTTTTAACCTTTTAATTCATCGGTTATATCTAATGTGTCCTCACATTATTTTATTATTAAATCGATGGGGATATCGGACATAACAGAAATACATTAACATGTATTCTCGCCTATAGTCAACACCAGTGTCCATACTTTCAAATCGAGTCCAATGTATATGTGTAGCAAGGTGCGTAAAACGCGGTTAAGATTGCATTCATATAACTAATAGAAACAAAACATAATCAAAGACGTCAAATGTTTTTTCAAATGTTAGATACGAATGCTACTAAAAGCAATACACTGTTACTAATTATAATTTCATATAAGACACGATTGACAACAACCCATTCTAGTATGCATTAACAATATTAAAGTGAAAGAAACCAAAAACGAAAAATGAATAAAAGACAAACAGTAGTAAACAAAACACAACATAAAGAAATGAAGACTAAGTGCACTCACTCAACCAACAACCACGGTTGATTGCAGATATTCCAGAAGGGTAAGAAGATCCTGCTAAACTAGTGGCACCAGTAGTCCTTCTCTAGTGGCACCTGTAGTCCTATAGTGGCAATAGAGGGACGAACGATGCCAGAGGGACAGTCAAACTAACAGATCGAAAACAAACTGACAACGTCATGGCCAAAAATAAAATGACAAACAGACAAATAATAGGACAGATGACACACCATAGAAAACTAAAGACTCAGCAACACGAACCCCACCAAAAACTGGAGGTGATCTCAGGTGCTCCGGAAGGGTAAGCAGATATCATCTGTGAAACGGTTATTCTATAACGGTCAACCAACTCGTGATGGCGTCCGTAAAATTTACGAAGAGATGATTTCAACTTCACCATTTGGAACTCTTGGTTTAATAGCTTCCTTGTGAGCAGCAATCCTGTATCAAAGAAATCATGATAGGAAGAACAAGCCCGGGAATATTGTATCAATTAGGAGATATATACTCCGTATGTAGGCGCTGCTGGAATGTTGCTACATAGAAATGGAAAGTTCACAATTGGGAAGCTGATATAATCTCTTTTGTCGTAAAGTTTTGTTTTCAACCGACCCTCATTATCAATTTCTAGATGTTAGTCAAGATATGAGGCAAGCGTCGTTAAGTTACATTTTATTTTATAATTTACAAGTTCTCAATAACTATCATTGGGCTAATCTAAAATACAGGAATAAGTGTTCTCTTAAAAAACGGGCGGAGGAATTATCAGTTGTATGTCTTTTTTCCTAAAGATTATGTAAACTTATTCATTGATTCGTGATATTTAAATGCAACCAGTAGCTCCATCCCCTCCCCCTTCATGTTGTTTATTGTAAGTTTATGATACCTATGTATTTAAAGTGTAATTATATTCAGAACATGCAACATATAGATTTTACCTCAAACATGTCCTTGTGAGTTCCAACTATAAATACTGGTGGATCAAGTTGCGCCATATCATTGCTTTTATTTTCATTTGTACTATAACACCTTATTGTTTCTAGCTAATACTTTAAATCGTCTAGAAATAATAAATGAAATCAACACTTCATAACTATAACATGATTATCTAACATCTGTTTGCTACTGTATTTTGTGTTCACTTTTAATCTTTTTAATCGATAATATTTACAAAGAAGAATCCTTTACTCTTGTCGTTGCTAAATGTAATAGTAAAGGACGCGATATGTGTCAACATCGGATGGTTTATGTACATTGAAATATAGTATTGAGTCTTCCACTTTTTTATCGTAAGTTATCAGATTAAAATTGTATTTTTTATATTGGGTATGATAGCAAACAATATAAGAGTATTGGTCATGAGCTATTTTCTTATATTTTGATACAACAGAATATTTTTTACTAGTAAAATTACTTTTCCTGTTCAATCCCTATCCAATGCTTTTTTTTTTACTTAAGAAAAGTACAAAACTTAAGGTACATTCAATACAGGGGAAGTACATGAAAATGATGAAATCAAACTTTGACTATATCAACAAACGGAACGAATACAATAAACTGTTATATCCCTGACTTGGTAAAGACATTGTCCCGAGAAAAAGTTTTGGCAAACCTTGTTTCACTTCAAATGTGTATAATATGGATGGACATAGCTTTGTTATTTTTAGCGAAGTGTGAAAAGATCGTTTAAAGTTTTAATATATCAATAAGTACTCTTAAGATTCTTTTATACAAAATAATGTCAGAATATTGCATACGATACATAAATAAAGTAATTGAAAGTAATCAGATGAGCTTACATCTTGCATCATCCGAAGTGATGTCATTTTCTTTTTCTGCAACATTGAATGTTACAATGTATATTGCATCTTTTGACAGAAAGGCCTTGTGCGTATTATAATATTCTTGATCACCGGCAAAGTCCAAGAAATCAATCTGTACGGTGTCTTCTAGATCAAGTGGTGCCTTCAAAATTTCACTAAGGTCACGAAGATCTTCGTTGTAACTGTATCCAGTGTTTTCTGTCACATTCGATTTTATATCTGCAGATTTAGGTATATCATATGCTTGATGAAATTTGTCAGGTTCGATGCAGATTTTCTGTTTATTGTAATTTGCTTATATGGCCTTTTTAGCTTGCTGACCAACCAACCCATCTGTCTCGTCAACTCCTTTTATATTTTTGGCGGTTTCTATAATTGTTCTCAGAAGTCTAGAGTTTACATTTTCTTGGATCGTAGATTCTATAATTAGTTTGCACAAAACATGATCTAATATACATGCAATAAAACTTTTCAATATTACAAACACAATAGTCAATGGAATACCTTTTCAAAATGCTGGGTACAAACATTACATTTTTATCATAAATCTTTACTTTTTAAAACATTAAACTACATTGGGATAAGCCGGTTCACACAGAACAAATACATTAAAATTCATAAAATAAGAATCGTACAAAAGGAATCAAATGCATGTAACGTTTATGTTCAGATTGTTCTTAAACTATTTTCCGGCATTAAGCGCCTAGTTAAAGGTCTAGTTAAAAGATGGTTGTATCTGGGCTACTACATGCGACCTAGTAGAATGATATACGCTTTTTAAATATTACATAACCATTCTAGGTGGGGAAGGGGTCCGTAGTTGACTTTGTTCAAGAAAAAAAATTTGCTCTTATCAATCGGTCTTTTTTCAAGTCAAGTGTTCAAATATGTTGCCTTTTATTCTGTTCAACCTACTGTGCCGCATTTTTCTATCGTACTAATTGTTTAATTTGCTTTAAATATTAGACAAGAAGAAATCAGCCAATAGCGTTGTGCTATAATCTTATGAAGGAGATTGATACTTTGTAATAGTAAGATTATAAGAAAATAGACTTAACAGATCAGAACATCTAGGTGGCGACAGAACAACAAGAAACATTATACATGTTATATTAGCTCTATGAGTTTTATGAAATGCACCAGTGGTATTCAAGTTATGCTTATGACCTGGCAATAGGCATGGACGAATTAAACGAATGGTAAATACAAGTGTATTAACAGCGTATGCATTTCAATGGTAGCAATGTCCATACATAGATAATATTGCGATATGTAACGTATTAAAACTTCCCCGAAATCGGATCTTTAGATCAAAAAGGAATGTTGAAAATAAATTTTTGTAGTCTTCATATCATTATCATATAAATTAAACTAAATTATGTCAAGTAACAACAACCAATTTTTAATAAAAAAAAAACAGACGTATTATCTATGTAAAGTATGTTAAGATTTAAATCTATTTATTCTTTAATTATGATATAAAAATTAAGACGTGGTATGATTGCCAATGAGACAACTCATCACAAGTGATCATCATGACATAGAAATTAACCACCTTTGTCACCGTGTCCAATCTTTTGATGTGTTTGAGTTTTTGATTTTGCCATTTGGTTATGGACATTTTCCTCCGAGTTCTGATTCTTTGTTATTTTAGGTTTCGCTCTTAATACAGTTTGATGCAACACTTCATTTTGACAAATTATTAAAAAAAAACTATGGATTTTACTGAAGTACCCCAGTCACCTTAATGGACGTTTTTTTTTACAAATAAACAAAAACAATTCATATGCATACCTTCGTGACAGATCCATTTTCTGTCTCGAAGTTCAGCTTTGCATTTCAAAATGTGTATTTCTACACCACTTGTACGTTCAACATCATCAATTCCTTTTCGTAATAATCTTTTTATAAGACAAGTTTTCCCAGTCTGCTTTGGCCCCACAACAACTATTCGAACCTTCTTTCGCCTTTCAACACCAGTCTGTAAGCATTTGTTGTAAATATCGACTGAAGATTTACTCATTTCTCGTAACCGTTTCGGAATTGTGTGTTGTGAGGTGTTGTGTATTCTAGAGGTGTTGCCGATTTTTTCATACAACGAATCTTTTGAAAATAAAATGAAAGAACGTTGTAAAGGTAACATATTTATAAACTTTGATTTTTATTTCCCTGCTATGGTAACACAAATACTTTGATACATTTGAAGTAACTTTTATTCAAATTAAAACCGAAAGTTCAATCAAAATTGTATTGGGGAAAGTTTTGCTGTGTAATTCGATTGGACACAATTATAGAATAAAGGCATAAGTTACCGTTACTCATACATCTAAAAATAAACGCCTTGCTATAAAAAAAAAGGCCAACAGACAAACAGAAATCCACTATACACAATAGCATATCATCTTTTTATGTCAGTAAACTGAATCTAAATTTTCAGATGCACGCTTAATAACATATTCACATTATGTCGATCGATAATGAACATTTACTATTTGTTATTACAAATATACTAAAGTCTCTTTTTTTTCTTCAATTCCGTTTCAAAATCTAGTAAAACATGTATCAGCTGCAACTCATATAAAGCCTTTTTTCTTTTTTTTGATTAAAGCTTGAAATTTTCGTTCTGAACAAAGAGGTGTATGTTTCGGAAATAAAGTTTATCGACAGGTTGTTGGCATTCACATGGTCAACAGTTTATCAACTTTGAAAGAGGTCTTGTTCATGCGCCGTTGAGAATCCAAGTGTATGACCAAACTCAGTGAAGACCCGTATAACATGTATAAGTTCCATTTAATTGATAAATTCAACAACATTTACCGTTACCATAATGAAACTTGTTCGTTAAATTATCAAGAATTGTCGAACTATAATCCAGGCATTTATCCAAAAGAACTTATTTCCATAAATCAAACTTCTCATTAGAAACCGTACACCAACATTTACGATAACAAAGACGATTGTTGTCCCCTCTTGTTAATTGTTCTTTTCTGGACGGAAATATTTCTTTGGAGAAATTTTACGATGTTTATATATCATGGATATTCCAATACGTTCGTTATGCTCGTGTCTGTGACGATGGTTTTGTTTTTAAGGAACGTAATTTATGATTTAGATTGTAAACTGTTAAGTCAATGATTTCCTCAATTCAGATACAAATCGGGTAAAAATTGTCCTTAAAGGGCATACGATACAGTTTTGATCCCATAATGAAATTTGATGAAAATTTTGCATATAAGCTATTTTTGACCCAATTAAACCAAATATGAAATAAAAAATATACCTTTGAGTAAAAATGAGGTCAAAATTTCAGAACTTGCTGAAACCTCGGATTTGTGGACGATTTGTTCCCTTCGAAAGAAATACATAACTTTTTTTGTTTTAAAAGATAAACACAAGCTTATTTTTGATAAATTATTTGTAATTTCTGTTTCATATAAGTATCCATTAATTTATGCATTTTTTTTAGAAATAAGTCATATTTATTAAATGTACAAGAATTTAGAAAAAAAGGCATTTTTTGCTTTATATTTATCAAATTTAAAATCGTTGCATTGTTGAATCTTTCATGAAAATTAGTACAAATAATCCTCATACGTAATCAAACCAAATGGCATTGTAAAGAAGAGGGGTCCATGAACTCATTTTCAGGTTAAATCAGTTTGAATGATAAAAATCAGTTGAAAATGCATCTTTTTTCGATATGTCACAGTTTGACGTCGCGAAAATAACATTGTAATTTAGCAACGTCCTTACTTCCCATGTAACTGTATCGTATGCCCTTAAATGAACTTCTTCTAAAAAGTTACCAATTCAACATTGTGATTAGAATTTTGAATATTGTGTGTTTTGATATTAATAATGTTTTTGATATCAATAAGCTATAGCTCTACTACCTATTATTGGCATACACAAATTTATGTACAAGCATGTCCGGAAACCTGTCGATACCTATATTTTGGCTTTCCAAAAGGTCATATTTTTTCTCTGACTGTTAATAACGTCTACATACTGAACCAATTTCAAGTTGTATGTGTACTGATTACTATGCTATTCTTAGATAGATGACTTGATATAAATTATTATTGGCTTGGTAGTGGTGTATCTCATCTCTTCACTTCTTTTCTATTGTTTTTTTTTATTAGTTATGATATGCTTTATAATGATCTGAATAGGTAAGCACTGCAACACTAGCTTCTTCTTATGATGTGTGTTTATCCCACTGTTCCTTGTTTAGAGGAGGATAAGCAAATAGGCAAACACGTATAACTCCAACACAGTATTTGTACTGGAGCCTGTAATTCATTTGTCGTGGTGTGTTATTGTATAACATTTTGTGTTTGTTTATTGTTTTGTTCATAAATCAAGCCGTTACTTTTCTCGTTTGAATCATTTCACATCTGTCACTTTGTGTCCTTAATTGCTTACTGTGCGGTATGATTTTTGTTCATTGTTAAAGGCCTTACGGCGACTGTAATTGTTAGTTTCTTATGACATTTGGTCTCTGGAAGAGAGTTGTCCCATTGCGAATCTACTATCACGTTTTTTTTTATATTTGTGTTTTGTGTCTTATACTGTGTACCTATTGCTTTAGAAAATTTGAGGGTATATTCGCTCTCATATCGTCAAATTCATGTTGTCAGCAGCATGTTTTTGTATAAGAAATTTATATTATATGTTTCCTGTGATCAATTAATATTATCTTTTTTTCTAACACCTCTAAGTAGCATTTGTTTAATCTCGAAGTTACATGTATTATCTAATATTTATTGTGGTCACATATATCTCACCTATGTTTCTTACCACCCTACAACATTTGTCAAATACACGTTTGATCAACATGATAAATTTAAAAAACAATGATCTATCTAAAAATTATTTTCTTAACATATAGCATTGGTTTGATGAATTCCATATATTTTTACACACCTCTGTTTTCCCTTTTAATCGTGTATACGTCTGTTTTGGAAACTAAACTTGCACTAGGTTCCTACAATTTAAAATAACACCTTTCTGCATATATTGGTAATATATAGTCAGGATATACAGTATGTACAACATAAGATATAAACAGTGATCGGTTAATGAAAACTATTTCCTCTAAAAAGAAAAAAAAACCAACAGGAGCAATGCACGAAACTTTTTATAAGATACGAATGCTGCTAATAATACAGAATAACAAAGTTCTACCTGTTTTAATGATCATGTTTAATTGTTTTTAGAATTTATAGATGTCTCATATGACAATTGTAAACATTTGAAGTTCTACAACGCAGATTACAGATTCTGTTGATAGAGAACAAGGATTATGATTGATTTTAATTAAATTGGATTATCATACAGGACAATTTTATCCACAATATCTTAGGGTGTTCAATTATTTATATTCCGCGCGTAGATTTGTTTTTGTTGTTATTTTTGAACATGTGTTGCTGTCCTTGTCATGTTCTATTTCACTTAAAACCAATTTGAGTGTTATTATCTAAAGGCATATCGCTAAAACAGATTGTCAAAACTTTCATTGCAAAATAATCTTTATATAACATTCAATACTTGTATTTAAAATTTTTGAACCGAATACTTTCATTAGTTATTAGCACAAAAAAGTCATGTAATATGAATGTTTGAATTTAAAATAAAAAAAAATAAAAGAAGCATTAATCATGTAAATGCACGTGAAATCTGTTCGATGTATTGGTATTTATAAATAAACAAAATAAAAATGTAAATGTGGATGATACATTAGAACTGATATATAAGTTCTGATCGAAAGACATAATTATTTAGATACATAGAATATTACATTTTAATTTCCTTTATTTTTATTTATTTCTGAAAAGTACGATTGCTAATTTTATGTACCTTGTTTAATATGAAACGAAAAACAAAGTCATGCACATAGATTTCATAAGATATTATTAATTATTTTAATGACTCACATTTTCGCGTTCCAAATCATCGTAATAATAATTTTTCTGTTCAATATTTTCATCAAGAAATGTGTAATGTTCTAAAAATGTAAGAAACAAACAAAATGAACAGAACAAATAACTGTTTGTATCTGCATTGGAATAAGAATAAAAATGAAATAATGAAATAAAAACAAAAATGAATATAAGAATATGCACTTGAATTATAAATGTCAAACATACACCAATGCACGAGTAACATTTTTCTAAGAGTAAATATGAGTCCTTAAATATTGATCAATTCAGAAGACAATCCAAAAGACATATTACTGTTTAAACAAGAAAGAAGATTTAAACATAAATGAAAGAAGCAATGTTACAAACAAATCCAGGACAAGTCTGCAGAATGTAAAAAATATTCGAGACTGGATGGGTATGGGTAATAACATTGAAAATGGAAATGGGGAATGTATCAAAGAGACAACAACCCGACCAAAGAGTAGACAACAATCAAAGGCCACCAATGGTTCTTCAATGCAGCGATAAACTCCCGCACCCGAGGCGTGCTTCAGCTGGCCCCAAAACAAAAATGTATACTGACTTGCCTGTCCCAAGTCAGAAGCCTGTAATTCAGTGGATGTCGTTTGTTTATGTGTTACATATTTGTTTCTCGTTAATTTTTTGTACATAAATTAGGCCGTCAGTTTTCTCGTTTGAATTGTTTTATATTGTCATTTCTGGGCCTTTTATAGCTGAATGTGCGGTATGGGCTTTGCTCATTGTTGAAGGCCGTACGTTGACCTATAGTTGTTTGTCATTTGGTCTCTTGTGGAGAGTTGTCTCATTGGCAATCATACCAAATCTTTTTTCTTATAGTTCAGTGATAATGGACGTCATACCAAACTCCGAAATATACACAAGAAATTAAAATTAAAAATCATAAAAGTCTAACAAAGGCGGCAAGAGGCTCCTGATTTGGGTCAGGCGCAAACATGCGACGGGATTAAACATGTTTTTTGAGATCTCAACCCTCTCCCTATACCTCTAGCCAATGTAGAAAAAAAAAAACACACAACAATACGCACAATAAAACTCAGTTCAAAAGAAGTCCGAGTCCGATGTCAGAAGAGGTAACAAAAGAAACTAAACAAAATGATAATGATACATAAATTAACAAAGGACTACTAGCAGCTACTGACATGCCAGTTCCACCTTGGTAAGTTGACATTTGACAGACTGAAACTTCAGATCATAAGGCATTTGTATACCAGGTATGGTACATCTACGTTTCTATCTTTGGTTAAAAATCAATTAAGCAGTAAGAAATGCCATATACGGAGTAGTATCCCTATGGCTCGCATTCTGCTTCTTTTATCGATGGCGAGAGACAAATGAACACATTAACAGATTAATGGTGTTAAGAAAAAGACATGATTAATAGTTTCATACATCCGTTTCGCTATTGATTTTCTTTAATACCTGTTTTGTTTTGAATTTTTTTTTTCAAATGTCATAGCCCTTTATTTGTGTGATATGTTCGTCTGTTTGGTATTATGCTTAAATACATTGATTATAAACTTTTTAAAATCAGAAAGATTTATAATCGGCATGTACAAATGTTTTTTATTTCTTTTTTCTTTTATTTTTTCTTCTTGTGCTTCTTTGTTACATGTTTGTTTGTGTAGTGATTAAGATATTAACACAATGTTGACTGTTGTAACCATATTTTTGACATTTTTACTTATTATGTCTGTATGTTTTATTTACGCATCAATATGAAACAGTAACTATAAAACCAGGTTCAATCCACCATTTTCTACATAAGAAAATGCCTGTATCAGGGCTGGAATATGACAGTTGTTTTCCATTCGTATGGTGTTGTTTGCGCTTTTGATTTTTCATTTAATACAAAAAATATTTTCATTTTTCATTTAATCCATTTGATTAGGGACTACCCCTTTTGAATTTTTCTCGGAATTCAATATTTTTGTGATTTTACTTTTTATTAAACAAAATAAAAAATGAAACATATATATGATTTAATGTTTAAACGCAAGTCATTTCCAAGGCTTCTCCGATGTCATGGATGTCGCATAACAGATATTGGCTCATACAAAGATTATTGTAACAATATGTATTTAAACTATAGAAACTGCTGACGATGAAATAGCACCTTTAAGTAAGTTTTTTTTAGGAATTCAGTTTGTTCAAATTACAGTTAATGGGAATATATCATGGTATTTGTTCATGATATAGAAATATGGTATATATTTTATACCCAAATCTGTATCAGTTGACATAATATATTTTAATCTATTCTTGCTCAAACATTTTTTTTACATATCAAATGTGCCCCAATTTTACATTTACATTTAACAATTTGACAATTTGTTCGATAAACCAATACTTTATTCCATTCCTGGATTAATTATTAAATACACGTTAAATGTGATTAAGAAAAACATACCTTTTACTTCTTTTTTTCTGAATTCAATTTTCTAAAACATTAAATGATGAAACATTGAACACATAAAAATGCTGACGATAATTGTAATGTTTAAAACACATATGTCTTAAATACGGAGCCCTAAATAGATAAACGTATTTCTGACATTGGACTCGGACTTCTTTAAACTGAGCTTTACTGTGCGTATTGCTATGTGTTTCTTTATTCTAAATTGGCTAGACGTATGAGGGGAGGGTTGATATCTCACAAAACATGATTAAACCCACCGCTTTTCTGCGCCTGTCCCAATTCAAGAGTCTCTAGCCTTTGTTAGTCTTAATTGTATGTTTCTTAATTTTAGTTCATTTCTATGTTTTGTAGTTTAGTGTGAGGTCTATTTTTACTGAACTAATACAAAATTTTATTTAGGGGCCAGCTGAGGACCATCTCCGGGTGCGGGATTTTCTCGCTGCGTTGAAGACCCATTGGTGGCGTTCGGCTGTTGTCTGCTCTTTGGTCGGGTTGTTGTCTCTTTGACATATTCCTAATTCTCATTCTCAATTTTACAATACCATCTTCCCTGATTTATATGAAATACCTCTTCCCTAAAATTTTATTTGATTCAGAAAAAATGTTTCTTTTTGTAAATGAATTTGGATGTAAAAGTGTTAAGACATTTTGTATTAAGCGCGATTGTTGTTAGCCAATCAAACTAAGGATGCTAGTATGTTTTGTATCAACATTGTTTGAACAGTTACATAAAATTGAGAATTGAAATGGATAATGATTGTTGTATTTATGTTTAGGCTTATAACTAAATGTTTATTGCTTGACCCCTATTCTTGACATATTCATTTGTTTTGTATGTTTGTTTTGTTTAGACATTATTGTGGATAAAATGGAATTTTATGTGACTGTCATAGAAGTGATAGATTTAGTAAGCTATAGAACCAGGTTTAAACCACCATTTAAGACATACTTGCCTGTACTAGGTCAGGAATATGATAGTTGTTTCCATTCGTTCAATGTGTTTGATCGTGAGATTTTTTTCATTTTATAAGGAACTTTTCGTTTTGAATTTTCATTGAAGTTCGGCATTTTTATTATTCTATCATTTTATTAATATTAAGCATAACGTCCTTGAGTCCTTGATTACGACATGTATACTGCGTTTTGAATTTGACGAATACCATATTGAGTCCTAAATCATCTAATATAGCGTAGTAAATACATTTTCATTATCGGTTCTTGATCGTTACAAATCATGAGGTCATAATACTGAAAATGTGCTTGGTTAGCTGTATTTTTATAACTTCTGAGTTTAATTCGATCGACGACAAAACCAATTTAACATACCTTTACATATTCAGCAGGGAAAAGCCCTCTCTTGCCGCTTATGTCTCCTAATTGCTATCTTGCTGGCTTGTTAAGTCTTATTCCAAATAAATGTTGGTATTCGAACTTTCAGGATCATGATCTTGTTTATCACACTGAGTGAATGTAGAAAGTATGATAAGATTGTTCGTTTTGTCCCTGGAACTCAGTAGTTAAAACATAATATAAATCACTCTGATTAAACAATTGAAAGACATTCGTTTGTCAGATTAGCAGTTTTTAAATTTTTGAATAATGTCATAATTCTTTTACATGTTTGTAATAGGCCTTCAAACCTCTTGCCCTAGGTCAAAAACTGCCAAAAAAAATAGCATAATTTTGATCAGATTCTCATTTAAAGGTTGAATATGTTTATGTGACTTTAAAGTGACTAAATGTAAATATTAATGTATATTTTGTCCAAATAAAACAAAATCCATGTCTTACCTTTTTATTTTAATGAGGAAAATTACATACATTATTAAGTACTATATTGAATAAGGTTTACTCACACTTATATGGCTTGCAAGCATTGATGGTGGCGAGTTCCTATATCTCAAAAATCTAAATGAGTTATGATAAGGTATAATAATATAATATGTATAGATACATACATGATATACAATATCTATGTATATATTTAAAATTACGAAAATAAAAGTCCAATATGTGTAAAATTAGTAACTGTGAATTCCCATCCTTTAAGAAAGTTTCGAAACACTTACTCATTCCACGAAAAGGAGGGTTCTGATGGGAATTTTGCTTCTTTTTTTTTTCGTTTTCCCGAATTTACTGTTGACATACAACTTTTGCTGTTAGGAATTTTATTGTCGTATTTTTGAAATTTCAAATTGAAATAATGCATTGAAATAAAAAAAAAAATGTTGAAACACAGATAAATTTATTCACTTTGCTCCCGTACTGTAGAATAAGAATTGTTAGGCAATGTAATACATATATATAAGAAATATTCTATCAAAAATGTTTTTGTTTCAAAACAATATATCAAAAATATTCAAAATTTATGAGACGAAAAACAGAGTCAAAATTATATGATTAAAAGGTAATATAAAAACGTCATTTGAGTAATGCTAAGTATTGAAACACGACAAGTCTTTCTTATTTCTACATTTAGTATAGTCATGTACAGTCACCATGAATATCTCCATTATATGTTGAAGTTAAGGTTAAAAAGAAACAAAAGAAATCTGAACAGCATATTATTCTACAGCAAAAAAAAGGAACATCAAGAGTTGTTAACATGAAAACATGAAAAA